ACCCCAAACCCAACACCGTGCCTTTTTTCAGAGGCTGGTGGGCGGTCCTCGTCGCTTCTGAAGCTTCACGGTTTCACCGGCTTTCAAAGCGGTGCGACTCGGGATGCACTCAGAAATCTTAGTTTTTGGGGTTTCGGGTTTTGGGTTTCAGGGGTTAGGGTATCTGGGATCTGAAAATTGTAGGAGTTATATCAATCACAGCTTCTTCAACTCCCTATATTACCCCCGAACCCTATTCCACTTGTTGCTCGCCCACATGTTTGTACACGTTCGTGTGTAGATTTATGTTGGTTGTATGTCTGTCTGCCTATCCGCCTATCTGTCTAACTATCTATATCTATCTGTCTATCTGTCTATCTATCTACCTGTCTACCTGTCTATCTGTCTACCTGTCTATCTATCTACCTGTGTACCTGTCTATCTGTCTACCTGTCTATCTGTCTACCTGTCTATCTGTCTATCTATCGATCTATCCAACTATCCATCGATCCATCTATGTATACACATATACACACACACCTGTCGTATGCATGATATATCATATGCACATACTATATATATATATATATATATCATGCCGAGACAAGTATGTGTAAGTATGTGTGTATATATATATATAGGTTTATGTACACATACACTCTCACACACACAGTAGAACAGTCGAAGTGTAAAAGGAGCCCTCAGCCCTTGAAGTCTGCAGCCTGAACCCGGAAACCCTAAACCTTCAAAGTAGCCCTAACCCCTTAGCCCAGAGGGTTTTTAGGGTTTTGGGGCCCCTTATACTGTACTTATAATAAGGAACCCCTCCCCCAAAAAAATACTATTGGTAATTATTTAGGCCCCCACATTAAACCCTGAGCCCCAAACCCTTAAACCCTGAACCCGAAACCCAAATCCTTAAGGAACCCTAAGCCCTAAGCCTTGAAAGTCTGCAGGAAGAGTTTGGCTCAGTCGTGTGGCAACGGTGCCTTGGCTTTCGGTGCGATTTGTTTTTATAGTAGTTTTTCTCGAACAAATTGTTTTTTTTATATAAGTTTACAAATTATGCACGGTTGTTGCTGCTGGGATTTAGGGACTAAGTCCTTTAAGATCCTTTTCAGGGTCCAAAAAGGGTTCAGGTTTTAGGGTTTCGGGGTTCAGGGTCGATTGATGGGTCTCAGGCGCATATCTGGCAACTGGATAACTTGCTGAACATCACTCCTACAGCCGAGAAGGTTTCTGACGAAGCCCAGTCCCTGCTCCCATCCCCGAGATGTCTTGTTGAGGGAACCAGCTCAGGCTTTGGCGCTTCGTTTGGCTACCAATGCTGCATCCGGAGTCTCCAGTGCGGCTGGTGTGGCTAACGCCTGCCTTCGTTTTCGTTCTCGGGGAGGCCGGTCCTCCGCAAGGATTGAACCGGCGCCCTCAACCAGCAAAGTTTTAAGCCTCCTGCAGTCGACCTTCAACATCCATACTATAGGGGCCTAAATAATTTCCTATATAATGACTTTGGGGGTTTCTTTATTATAATTATAGTATAAGATACCCCAAACCTCTTCTAGTTAGTAAGGCCCCTACAGTAACCACTAAGCCGAAAGCATGCCTTGCCATGCTTGGCTGGACCACACACCTCAAACCGTTGAAGGGTTTGGGCCGACTTCTGCAGTTACTAAAGGAGGAGCGGGTTTAGGCTTTAGGGTTCGTGAACCTGAAGTGAGCGAGCTACTTGTACTCATGCATATTACAATCCGTACTCACATATCTCAGTCCAAACTACCCGACCTCAAAGCCTTGTTCTCCCCTCCACGGGGCTTTACTGATCCGTATTGCCTTTGCTGCCACATCTTTTAGGGTTTTATTCCTAGCTCGTTCAGTAATTCCCCATCTGGACTCCCAAACATCGAACAGAAGGAGCACAACAAACGCGACCCTCGAACCTGACGATCTTTCCTCGCTCCTGGTGGCTTGTTCAACACATCCCTACTGTGCCCCCCAAGCCCCAAACCCTAAAACCCTAAACCCTAAAACCAAAAACCCCCAAAACCCCAAACCCTAAAGTCAGGCGTTCCTGGTGCCTTTCATGCTCTCCTTCGATGTGGATACCCAGCCGAACAGCGTGACCAGTCGTGGTTTGATCGTCAACCTCACATGTGCCGTTAGAAGCGCGGTTTTTACATGCCATAAGAATTTAACGGGTTTAGGGTTTAGGGTTTCGGGTTTAGGGTTTAGGGTTTAGGTTTAGCCCCCAAAAGTTTGATTTTCAGATGCACAAGACCTTAGGGTTGTTGTAACGGTGTAGTGTTCAGGCCTTAGAAGTCCTCTTGCGTTCTGTGCTGGGCCATGTCTGGATTTCAATCATGTCTGAAAATGGGACAGCGCAGAGATATTGAATGCGGGATCCGCTTGGCGACCCTTCGACGAGCACTCATTAGCCTCAACTACACGACACCCCACCTTTACAAGCAGAGGTGGACGTGCATGAGTCGCTGCAGTCAGCACTGGTGTTCATAAGGTTCTCTTCTGCAGGGGCCTCCGCCGGAAACCAGATCAGACGAAGTCCCGTTTACATAAGCTAAAGCCTGAAGCCCGAACCCTGCCCCTAAGCCAAACACCCCAAGCCCTAGACCCTGAGCTCGAAACCCAGGGAATCATCCCCTACTTGCACCAAGACTACGGGTTCGATGACCCTAAACCCTAAACCCTAACTTAGGGTTTAGGGTTTAGGGTTTAGGGGTTCGATGGCTCCCTTTTCTTATCACTGCAGCCTCGAGTCGACTAGCAGCCCTGACTCCTTGAGCCCTTCATAGGCCCTAAGCCCTACACTCATAATTCCAATATAGGGACCTAAACAATTAGGAATATGATTTTGAAAGTACCTTGTTATGACTATAGTATCATGGGCCAAAACACCCTATTCTAGTTATTAAGGTTCCTAGATTACCCTAGGCCCGGTAGCCTTTTCAGGCTTATGCAGATGGGACCCAGAGAGCCCAATACCTCTTGAAGAAGGAAAAGACCTTAAATCAGAATATTAAGGCCCCTAGCTCTGTAAGGGCTACTATAAGGTTTAGGGTGTAGGGGCCTTAATAAATTAGAATAGAGTTTTTGGGGTAGAATGTTGGGTCTATCCCTTAAGTAAGGGGTATTGGGCACGTTGGGGAAGACCGCTAGGGCCAGAAGCGTGCCTCAACGCCTCCTTTCTCCTTCAGGTTCTTGGCATCGCCTTCCGCGTCATTGACCTGCCGCTGTGTGAAACAGAGAGTTCAATCCGACAGGGAAATACTTGCGTTGTTTGAGGGTTGCAGGCAATGCTTGAACTTGCTTGAACAATATCTGTATGTATGCACAGATAGTATGACATGTGTGTGTATACATATAATTATACAGTATTAAGCATACATGCGCTTCACTGGTTGCAGTAACCTGCCTAGAAAATCCCGAATGTCCTAAGCCGTATTTCCTAAAACCTCTAAACCCTAAACCCCAAAACCCTAAACCCCTAAAGCCCTAAACCCTAAACCCCTAAAACCCTAAGCCCTAAACCCCAAAACCCCTGAACCCTAAGCCCCTTCAGCCCTAAACCCTAAACGCCTAAAGCCCTAAACCCGAAACCCTAAAGTGCCAGGCACCGGAAAGGAAGGGTTCACCGCGTGACGGGCACCCCCCGGCCCTCCCCCCCCAGGTATTTCCTGGCTGACATCCTCGTCACCTTCCTCACAGGCCGGCCTTGTAGGGTGCACTATGGGTTTAGGGTTTAGGGTTTAGGGTTTAGGGTTTGGGGTTTAGGGTTCTGGATTTAGGGTTCAGGGTTTTGGGTTTAAGGTGTAGGGTTTAGGGTGTCTCCCCTCATATTCTCGTTTAGCATAGCCCAAAACAGATCCAGCGTCTGAGGGTGAAAGGTTTGCGCGCAAAATCACGCGCAGATGAATCTTGTACTGTTGCAGGGCTTTTCAGACAGAGAACTGCCGCTATTCTTCCAGCAATAGTCACAGTTAATTGTGTGTGTGTGTATGTGTATATATATATATAAAATTATATATATATATATTCAGAAATTTTGATATGTGTTTGTACAACAACAAACAAGTAAATCTATATATAGATGTAGATACACACATGTACTGCGCCGGGCCAATAGTTCGACCCACTAGCTTGAACAACGAAGTTGACCGCTGCACCCACCCTCCTCCCCCTAGGCTCCTAACACGAGTGAGCCTTGGGGCCTCCTCCGGAACTAAAAAGTTTAATCTTAAAACGGCGTAGAAATTACTCCGCTAGCCTGCGTAGGGAAAACGACACTTCCAGGCACTCCGCTACTCCGCAAGAGCTTGTTAACTAAGACACTTGTAGCTCGAAGCTTTCGGCCCGGGGATGTATTTATAAGTTTTTACCGTTATGTATATATGTATACACACATCTCACTCTCTCTCTCTCTCTCTCTTCAACCCTAAACCCTATAACCTAAACCCTAAACCCTAAACCCTCAACCCTAAACCAAAATCCTAAACCCTAAACCGTGTCACGGTCCGATTTATTAGTGGACAGCCTCGGACTGGTACATGGCCCAGGCTTCCGTCATCGCCATGGGGCCTTGGTCCTTTTGCCATCCTCTGTGGCAGCCGGCCTTAAATAGGGTTTAGGGTGTTAGGGTTTAGGGTTTGGGTTTTAGGGTTTAGGGTTTTAGGGTTTGCGGTTACTCAGGGTTTGCGGTTATTTAGGGTTTAGGGATTTAGGGTTTCGGGTTTTAGGGTTTAGGGTTAGGGCTGCTAGCGCTGGAGAATTCCTTTCGAGCTTCTTAGCATTTCAGGATTCAGGGTTTGCTGGCTTCTAGGCCCTGCTGATTTTTAAGGGTCTACGGGGGAATCTGGGATCAGAACTAGACCCTACATCCTAAACGATGATCCCTCTAAGCCCTAAACCCTAAACCCTTAACCCTACATCCTAAACGATGATCCCCCTAAGCCCTATAAACCCTGAACCCTGAACCCTAAACGATGATCCATCACCTGCTGCCAGCTGAGGCAAAGAAGTATATGACAGGTCAGGGGCTCAGCTTCCTGCAACACGAGGGTGGTTGAAGGTCTTAGGAGCTACCCATAGGCCCTAAAGTAGTTCCTTTTGGGATTCCCTAATAGGATTCTAAATATGAACCCCACAAAGGAACTACTTTAGGGCCTATGGGTAGTGTTGACGAGTGAATGGTTGACTGCGGGCTTCGGATTGAGTGGAAATTCCTTTCCCTGATTGTCCCTATTACAAAACAGGTCCCTGCTACAATTCTAATACAACGCATACCCAGACCCTATCCTTATTCCAATTGTTAAAGCGGCCTTATTCAAGAGATGTTGAGGAGTTCGGGCGTAGGGGTTTAGGGTTTAAGGAGTTCGGGTGTGGTTGGAAGGGTTCACTTGGTGTTGATATGGCTTGAGCAAGTAGCGTCTGTTAGTTATGGTTATTGCTGCTCAGAAAGACCACAGCCACCCATGTCTTTAGCCTTTTAAAGTTTCGCTTGCCCTAAGCCCTAAACCTTAAACCCTAAACCCTAAACCCTAAAACCTAAACCCTAAAACCTAAAGCCTAAAGCCTAAAGCCTAAACCCTAAAGCCTAGAGCCTAAACCCTAAAGCCTAAACCCTCAACCCTGAACCCAAAAACTGGGCTTGGGAGTTCTTTTGGGCCCCGGTGATTGTT